CAATTTTTTTTTAGAATGAAGTTAGAACTGTCAGCGGCTGCTGGCTGCTCATGCTGGCTGCTGGCTACACATGGTAGCCCATGGCAACCCACTGCCGCAGGAGCTGCAGCCTATGCCATCGCCTCATGGCAACTCAGCTCCAGGTTAAGCTGTTGTTCAGCACCTTAGCTGTAGAGGACAGCGTCACTGGCCCTCATATGTGGGATCCGTACCGGGGCCCTCTGGTGTCCCAAGCCAGTTCTTAACCAATGTGCCACTCGGCCGGCCCTGTTTTTATTTTTAAAGTTAATGGAACAATAATATATTTTTCAGTACACCCTAATTCCATCATTGTTAGGGTGTGGTAATGACCAAAAATTTCAAGATAATTTTGGAGTTTATATACTATGCTTTGTTATTGGCTTTAGTTTACAGTCATTCTGAATGCTTTATATTTTTAAAAACAGTTTTAGATTTACAGAAAAATTGAGCAGGTCATACAAAGATTTCCATATTCCTTCCCTCACCTCTTACCTCTTACCCAGCATGCAGTTTTTTCTGTTATTAACATCATGCATTAATGTGGTACATTTCTTAAAATTTATGAACCAATATTGATACATTATTATGAACAAAAGTCCATGGTTTACATTAAGGTTCACCCTTTGTGTTATACAGTTTTATGAATTTTGACAAATATAGAATGTCATGTATCCACCATTACAGTATTATGTAAAATTGTTTCATCACGATAAAGTCTGTGCTTCACCTATTCATCCCTCTATAACCCCCACTATGCCCAACCTCTCGTAGTGACTTGTCTCCTTACTATGTTTATAGGTTTGCCTTTTGAAGAATGTCGTATATTTGGAATCATACAATATGTAGCCTTTTCAGACTAGCTTCTTTGACTTAACAGTATATGGATTCAATTCTAAAGCCAGGAAAAAAGTTTTTATTTTCTGTGTTTCTGTCTAGCCAGTTGATTTACCCCCCAGTTTTTTTTTCTTTTTACCTTTTGACCCCCATTCACCCATTTCTCCCATTCCCCATCCCCATTCCCCACCTGTGGCAACCACCAGTTTGTTCTCTGTATGTACGAGCTTAGTCTTTTTTTTTTTTTTGGTTTTAGATTCCACATATGAAATAGATCCAATGGTATTTGTCTTTCTCTGACTTATTTCACTTATCATATCCATGTACCTATTGGCATCTGTATGTCTCCTTAGAAAACTACCTGTCATATAACAGCAATCTTAATAAGCCAGTATACGAGTGTAATTAAGGACAGAAAGATGGAACTACATAACACTGATCTTTGCTCTGCCTTGAATGCATTCTGGTGCCTTGGCAAGTCATTTAACAAAAACGTTTTTCTTATTTGCAGAATGGAAATGATTTAACCTAAATTTTATAGGGTAACGTAAGGGAGATGAGACATTTGTTTTGGACAAACATTCTATAAAAATGTTAAGTGGTTTAGTTGATCTTATATATTTAACTCTTTCAGCTATTAAATAATAGAAGAAAATGGAATGGAATATGATATCATCATGGAACAGTCTGATGATTCAATAATAGTCAACCATAATGATTCCGAAGATTCGAAAACAGATTCTCAGGTAATTTGAGGTAGGGATTCAACTGGAAACTATTTCTCATTCTAAGGGAAAACAGCATGCCATTTAACAACGTTTATGCTCAAGGAATAGTGTTATATTTAATGTAGTCAAGAATTTCATCATGTTATTATCTGCAATTCTATGATATATTTATTTTATATATTCATAACAATTTATACACAAGGAAAAATCTGTATGTTGAATTATATTTCATCATTTCAGGTTGCATTTCTATGGACAATTTTATTTCAATAAAGTTGAAATAAAATATAATAAAAATCAACAATTTTGTTTAAGAACTGCTTTCTGTCTGTATCAGTGTGAATTGACAACTGTTGCAAAATGTAAAGTAAATAATTAATTGAAAAAAATGAATTTCCATTTTTATTATAAGCATTTTATTTTTTTAAATTGTAACATTATATTTTATAAACACCCAAGTTATTTTTTAATTTTTTTGCAAAGCATCCAACCTATATGGACTCCAGGGATCCTTCCTTTGGACAAAATGACTCTGGTAGAGTTTTACCCATCAATAGTCATGAAGCAGATAATTCACTCACATCACAGAATATACCAGGGCCACTGACTCAAGCACAGACCCTTTCTGCGGAGCAATTCCACCTAGTGGACCAAAATGGGCAGCCTATTCAATATGAACTTCAGTCATTGGGGGATTCTAATTCACAAATGGTGAGTATATTTTATAAATAACCAGTTTTGTGCTATTTGTAAATATATATTTGTATTAGTCTTACTATAATAGATGACTTTAATTGCTTGACACGTTGACTTACATTGCTTTAAATAATACTGTTTTCACGACATTTATTATTATTTTTTTTCATTTTAAACAAGTTTATTTAAATAACAAGACACTTGACTTGAAGGAAAACTAGCTAGGATTTATTTGTTTTAGAGTAACTTATCCCTACTTAAAAACAGATTGCTGTACATGTAACAGCTATGTATATAATAAAGTTATAAAGTTGTCCTTGGTTTTACAATGATACATGAAAAACAATAAAATTCTCCAATTGAAGAAGGTATGCAAGGATTTTTATGTTTTTCTTTTTTTGTTAAACACTGAGAGTAAAATAACTTACTGTAATATAAAGATAAGAGCTGAATGAGCATGCCACTAACGGAGCAAGGGGATGTTTTCACAGAACCAGTATTTTTTCCCATCCCATCTCCATTTGATGTCGACCAAAACATGCCATTGGTCATTTAGTTAAAAAAATGCAAACGTCTGTGCATATACATTAGTTATTTTATGTACAATAAGTCCCCGACTTAAGAATGAGTTCCATTCCAGGATTCGTAAGTCGGATTCGTTCGTAAGTCCGACAAAGTGAGTCTTATATGCGAGGTCCGTTTCATATCTGTGAAAGTTTGTAACTCGAATGTTCGTAAGTCGGGGACTTACTGTACAATAATAGAATGGGGAAGGGGAAAATGAAAGAATAGAGAAAACTATACTGTAGTAGAATGTGGTGGAACCAAATTGCGGTTTTCTAATTGAGACTGTCTTGGGTGGAGGAACTGATTTCTAAAGTAAAGTAGCAGGTATCGTTTTTAGTAGACACCTGTCTGCTGCTGGAACACATAAAATTGTATCTTCATCCTCCATTTCCAACTGTGCAGGTGTGTGTTTCATTGATTGTATAACTGTCAAGTCAAAACCTGAACTGTCTCATTGGTAAACCCTGTCATTCATAATAGGTTTTCATTCGTTTACAAAGTGGTGTATACCTCTTAATCTTAAACTGCATCACAGAACGATCCTGCCCTCCACCTTCAAGTTAATATGATCGTTATCCTCAGTCTTGACTCCTTCTTTGGCTTCTTCTCTGCCATGGTGAGCGCGGGAGTCTCCTCAGTTGCTGCTTAGCAAGAGGTCCCAGGTCTGCACTGAATGAGCACACAAGAAGCACCAGGAGCGGCAGAAGCTCCATAACATGCATTTTTAAGTTATGTAAGGATTTTAGAAGATTTCCTTTCAGGACTACAAATAGTACTTCAAACCAGTCACTATGTCTAGGCACACGGGTGCTTTGAGATCAGTTGGAAATGTAACATAATCTGTAACGAGTGCTAAAGTGCCCAAGTTAACATATAACTTACATTTACTTTTTTATATATACATTTCTCTGAAGTCAAGGTTATTGCTTTATTAACATCTCAGCCATTGATTTACATGCCACATGCTAGTATGCTTTCTTGAAGAAAAAGCAGTGGAAGAACCAATGGTTTACTGGAAATTAGACATACCTTTGTTGATCTTTGTAGGCAGATATATATATGTGTCATGTGAATAACAATGCATAAAGATGAAAATGCCGCTTTAAACTGTGCCAAAAGCATTTATGACCAAATTTATAGTTTGAGTAGAAGAAAAGAAAGATGGTTTTGATTTAAACAAAGAAAATTACTGAGAAAAACTTCCATTGCTCTCTGATTAATAAGAACATACTTATATTAGTAATATTATGAAGACTAATGTATCTCTTTTGTTTACCTGTATTTTCCAACGTTTTTACAATGAATATTTATTAATTTCATTATAAAAATTATTTTTAAAGTAATATCTTCAATTATAAACTATACTACAACTAAGCAACCATTTTACCAAAATTAATTCTTGTCTGTGTTTCTAGTCTAGAGTGTTCTAGAGTTAATCCCTGACCTTTTGCTCCTTTATAATCCAGCTAAATGCTGGTGTTGAGAGTAATTTGGTTGAGAGGTGGCTAAGTGTAGACAAGTCCTTTTTGTGTATGTTCAGGCTGAACAAATTTCTGGACCTACTTCAGGACTGAAATGCAAAGTAAGGGTAAGCTTCTGTACCCATACTGCATCACCAGCAGAGGTTAATATGTAACAAATAATCTTGATGTGAACCAACTACATTTTAATGTTTCCTGTCCAGAGGGAAATACTTTTGTAATCTCTCCTGTTATTTGACATTTACTCTTGTTTCTCTCAGAACATTTAGAAAGTCTGTATGTTCTGATAGAAGGATCAAGGAGTCTAAATGTATAAAGAGTTAGCGTTTTATACACAGTACCTTTTCTAAAAATCATGTTAAAGTTGTTTATTCAACTTTTAAGAAAGAGTGGTCTTCTCTTTGTAATTGTATTAAATTTTCTATACAGATTGATTATACACGTGATTTTACATTGTTTGGGGTAAGAGATGATAGAGAGTTATTTAAAGGTATGAAATAGGAAACGTGGCATGTAACATGGAAATAAATGTAAGAAACATAGAGTGTAAGAAAGTATTTTCTTCAAAGAACTAAAGGTCAGAAAGTGGTAATATTCTGGTAAACAGTGGAACTTTTTGGTTTTTTTGTTTAATAGATTGTACTTTTTAAAGATTTTATTGAGGAATTGGGGGAGGGGAAAGTGCTGGGGAATCAGGGGAAGGGAAACAGACAAGTTGCTGTTGTTTTGTTCTTTAGTCTTAGTTGTGGAGAATGTTGCTTCACTGACCCAAGCTGGCACCATCATTGCGCTCTTCCCAGGTGAGGCAGATTAGTCGCCGGCCTCTGGATGGCCGCTCACTGCGGCTGCTGGCCACTCACGCTGGCTGCTGGCTACACATGGTAGCTTATGGCAGCCCACTGCAGCAGGGGCTGCAGCCTACGCCGTCGCTGGCGACCCACGGCATCCCAGCCCCATGTCGAGCTGCCGTTGACCATCTTAGCTGCAGAGGGCAGTGTCACTGGCCCTCATATGTGGGATCCCAAACCGGGGCCCTCTGGCATCCCACGCCAGTTCTTAACCAATGCGCCACTCGGCCGGCCCTAGATTGTACTTTTTTAGAGGAGTTTTAAGTTCACAGTAGAATTGCATGGAAGATACAGAGATTTCCTATATCCCCTGCCTCCCTCCAACCCAAATGTATAATCTCTCCCATTATCAACATCTTCCACCAAGTGGAGCTTTACCACTTATCAGTTGTGAGACTTTGAAAAAATTTTTTTATCTATCTCAACGTTTTCATCTCTAAAATGAGGGAAAGAATGGTATTGACCATAGAGGGAGGCATGTCTTTAATAACTTAATTAATAATTCTCTTAAATTATTGTAGGCTTATGTATTTAATTTCTTTTTTAATGTTTCCAAGATGATTGTTGCTAGCCCATCAGAAAATGGACAGGTGCTTCGTGTAATTCCATCTACACAGACAGGAATGGCACAAGTGATAATACCTCAGGGGCAGCTTGTGGATGTAAATAGTCCTCTGGGTGAGTAATAATGGGATATAGGGGATTTTAGAATGTTTTAGAGAAGAAATGTATATTTAGGAAAATCACCTCATGAAAGTCACTGCTAAAATTGATCTCTTTGGGTAAGATTGTAAACTGAGTAATTAGAAAAAGTTTCTTAGCCCAAATAAATTTCAAGTTCATTTTTCAACTCTTGTCTAGGTTAGCTGTCTATTTCATTTTGGAATTCTGTGAAGCTGGTTGACTCTTGCTTCCTCCCAAATGACCAGTGAGCATAAAATAAATTATTCTTAATTATAATAGCAGTAATAATAACAGCAACAATAACAAGTTAGTGCTAATAGCTACTGGAGAAGAGTTTACATTTGTATTTTTATCAATATTATTATTAGCTACGTGACTTACTTTAACAATTCTTTCCATGCTCTTTGCTCTTTTCCTCTTTTCTTTGTTTGTTCAGATTGACAAAGAGACTCATAGTCCCAATTTCTTTTTATTTTATTCTTTCTTTACCTGTTTAATAATATGTCTATTAGCTCTCTTCCTTTTTTTCCCCTTGCTTTTCCATCTATTTGAATCTCTTGTCTAACATAGCTGTACTGTTTTGTATTCATTCATAGTTAATGATTTAGAGTAGATATTTTTACCTTAGTGATATGATTCTTTGTCTTTGTTAACAGTGATTAAAACTTAAGAAAAAAAACATAGTTTGCACAAAACATTATAAACATGGTACAGAAACAAAAAGAGTCAGTTTTACATTTTCCTATTATAATGTGAAACTGTTAATAAACAATTACTTCTACCACTCTTATATTCAAGCTGTTCAATATAAGTTCCAAAAACTTGTTTGCAGAATTTCAGTGGTCAGTATTATAATTGGAAAGTAAAAAAGATTATCAGAGAAATCCTCAATAAAGCATTGTAAGTTTTGTTATCTTTAGCTCCAGAGCTTATTTTCCTTTTCCTATTTCAAATACATAAGTTCTAGTTAATTACATTCTCATGGACTTATTCAAGATACTAATGTTGCATTGTTCTTGTTATTGTTGTTAAGAGTCCTCTGAAGAAAAACCCAGCGACAGAAACTTACCAACTGTAAGAGTGGATGCTCTAGCAGACAATAACAGCAGTTACATTCTTCATCCTCAAGCATCCCTCACATTACGCAAAAAGACAGTGACCAGGTGAGTCAGTGGGAAGGAGAAGCTCATCTTTTGATATCACCATGGAAATATTTTTAAATTACTACATCTAAAGCTGGCTGACTAGAAAAGATCTATAGACTAAAATTCAGGAAACAGAATAACTATCATCAAATTAACGAGTATTTTTAATTATTTTAATGGCATCTTGGCAACAAGGAGACTGTAGAAGCTATAAATGTCAAAAGTGCTGCTTTTCCTAGTGACATTTGCCTGTGATCTTTTGAAGCCACCTGAAAACATCTGACACGAATAGAGTTTTTAGAGTAAAGAAATATTCATTCTAATTTGTAAAATTTTCAATGGTTTCTTCACATTTTTATGCACTTAATACCTCTGTGGTAAAATGTTCAAAATGTTTTTTGTTAACATCTGTTTCAGCTTTTATTTTTGCCTTATAATAACTATAATAATTTAGGGAAATATAGACATGGTAGGAGAACTGACTCTGGGTGGTGAACATACAATGTGATATATAGGTGATGTATTACAGAATTGTACACATGAAACCTATGTAACTTTACTAACAATTGTCACCCCAATAAACTTTAATTAAAAAAAATATATCTATATAGGGGCCAGCCGAGTGGCTCAGTTGGTTAAGAGCTCGCTCAAGAGTGTGAACTCTGAGCAAGTGTTTCGATGCCTGGCCTGAGCTGAGCTGCTGCTGCTGAGCTGCCAACAGGTGGCAGGATGGTTCAGCTAAAAAAACAACAACAACAACGACACACACACACACACACACACACACACACACACACACACACACACACGGTTTTTGTATGTATATTCTTTTAATTGTTCTCTGAAAATATTTTTAAATTAACACAATATGACATTTAGTCTTAGAACTTGACATATATTATTCTTTTTTTTTTTTTTAAGATTTTTATTGGGGAATTGGAGGGAACAGCATTGGGGAATCAGGAAAAGGGGAACAGACAAGTAGCTGTCCTTTTGTTCTTCAGTCTAGTTGTGGAGGATGTCGCTTCACTGGCCCATGTTGGTATTATTGTTGCGCTCTTCCCAGGTGAGGCAGATTGGTTGCCGGCCACTGGAAGGCCTCTCACGGCAGCTTTTGGCAGTTTGCTCCGGCTGCCGGCCACTCCCGTCGGCTGCCAGCCACTCACAATAGCTTATGGTGGCCCACTGCAGCTTCACTGCAGCCTATGCCGTCGCCAGTGACTCACGACAGCCCAGCACCTGGTTGAGCTGTTGTTCACCATCTTAGCTGTAGAGGGAACAGCATCACTGGCCCTCATGCGGGATCCAAACCGGGGCCCTGCTGCTCAGAGCTGGCATCCTAAGCCAACTCTTAACCAATGCGCCACTCAGCCCATAATATGTTATTCTTAACAAGTCACTTGGGGATGTTTTATTACCTTATTTTTTTATTTTTTTTAATTTTTTTAAAAGATTTTTATTGGGGAATTGGGGGGATGGGAACAGTGCTGGGGAATTGGGGAAAGGGGAACAGACAAGTTGCTGTCGT